CACACACACATACACACACACACACACACACACACACACACTCATGTGTGCACACACATGCATCTCAGTTCAAAGTGGGAAAATGACTTGAAAGACCTTTCTCCAGAAAAGATGCACAAGTGCCAACGATCATACAAAGAAGATGCCAGCACCTCTGACGTTGGAAACCAATCAGGCCATGGTGAGCACCCACTTGTTGGGGTGGCAACTGTAAAAATTAGAGCATAGCAAGTGCTGGTGAGGAGGTGGGGAACTTGGAGCCTTGGGTTCTGGTGGAAATGCAAATGGCACCACTACCCTGGGAGCCAGGGTCCTCCGGTCAATGTGGGATCACTAAAGGACCCAGTGGCTCCTCTTCTGGAACTGAAAACAGGGACCCCAATAGATGTCAGGGCACATGTGCTCACAGAAGCACTGTTTCCAACAGCCAAAGGGGGAAGCAACCCTAGGCTCCCTCCTAAAATAGATGGATAAGCAACATATACTCCATCTACATTCTAGAATGTTTTTGCCTTTAAGGAAGGAGATTCTGGCACATTCAACAAGAAAACCTCCGAAGATGTTACGTTCAGTAAAGGGAGACAGTCACTAAAGGATAAATACTGTGCAATCCCACTTTGAAGAAGTTCCTGGGACTATCAAAATTACAGAGGGGAAGAAAATGGTGGGCATCAGGGCTTGGAAGGGGCCTGGAGAATAACTGTTGAATGGGGACAGAATTTCAATCTGGGAAGATAAGAAAGTTCTAGAGACAGACAGTAGGGATGGCCATATAACATCACCTTCTTAATGAGGCTGATGGTGAATTTTGTGGATGACTAAGAAAAGGGCTTGAGAGACATCACAGTGTATATGAGGAAGTGTGGTGCTGTGGGTTGGTAAGCGGACCTGCACATCTGGGGTCTTTGCTGTGGTAGCTCTGCCATCCCCCTGCTCAGAGGCTCTTCCTCCTTCTTCACCAAGTGACAATGCACAGCCCAGCTCAGCCTAGTATCATCCTCTTAGCTACATGAACCTGTAGGCCCCAGACCACCGTATGGACCCTAGATGGGCCCTCTTGACCCCTGGAGGATCACATGCACCCACAGGCACCCTCTGAGCATCCTGTAGTGAGCCTGCTTAGGCCTAGCTCTGGAGCCCAGGGGGCTGGACGCAGCGGTATAACAAGCCGGGAGATAGACAGAAACCTCTCAAGCGATCTGCCTGATACCACCCGCTCGGTCCCCAGGTGCTTGTGAATTGGGTTGCTCTGGGCAGGAAGACTTCCGTGGCTGGCAGGAGAAGCCAGGAGGCCATTGTTGAGAAGAGGCCAGCACCTCAGCTCTGAAGCTGCAGGACGGTACTCCAAGCATCTGCTCCTTCCAGGGTCAGGGCCAAGGACAGGGAGATGCTTGTACTTCCCAGGATGGGAGGCACATGGTGCCTTTTGGTTCAGAAGACGAAACAGCTTTAAAGTTCAAGACTCATTCAAATTGGATTTTAGAAACACAAAATCTCAAACATTTTTACCCAACTAAGGGATTATACTCTTATCCTCAGAAAAGCTTTTGAAGAGGTAGGAAAGAAAGGTAGCTCAAATTTTAAATTGGGTCCTCAAAACTTGCTTGTCTGAGGCTCTTTGCTCGGCCTGTCTGCCTATTATCAAAAGGTAAAATGTCTCAGACTATTGAAAAAGGATTTACATAAATTGCTTTCACCTGCTTCTTATATGAGGTTAATGAAATTGGAACAAATAGGAATGAATTCCCCACCCAGGCCAGCCCTGCACACCCAGGAATAGACCCTCACAGACCCACTGAGCTCAGGTTTGAGCCCCCCACCCCCACTCTTGAGAGCTTCCTGCCTGCCAGGGATGCGGTGGGAGACTCAAGCGACAAAGTGTTGAGAAAAGGCTGCTGTCTGTAGACGTGGGTCCCGATGTTCCCGGTCTTGTAAATCCAGACAATGACACTGGGACATGAGAGCAAACGGACAAGACCCACACCAAAAGTCAGTAATGAGCCAGCGTGGCTTTAGAAGGAAGGCGCGCTGTGTGATACGGCTGTTGCATGCTCTTCAACCTCTCTGTGTAAAGAAAGGAGAAAGCCGAACCACAAAGGAAGGCGGTTGGTTAGGGATTAGGGGGCTGGGCTCTGCTCCGCAGATTGGAGGCTCAGTTAGACATCACCGCTGCTGGACCCCTGGCCTCTAGGGTCTGTGCCTGCCACATGGCTCTGCCTTAAACTCATCCCTGTTTTTCTGGGTTGACTTTTCTTTAAGGACGTTTCATCATCCAAACCGTGGAGTGTGGGTAGTTGTGCCCCTTTGAAGACTCTGGGGTGGTTGGTGGGGGCGTTTTGTCTTCTACCTGGTCCTTGGGCCCTGGAGGGGGGAGGGAAATAGATGGAGGGCCTCCAGGACTCACAGGTTTGGAGGAGACACCTGCGAGGACCACAGGAGGCCATTTCCTCTCCAGAGTGGAGGGTGATATGCAGTGAGTGGCAGCTGTCACTCTGTGTGTGTGTGTGTGTGTGTGTGTGTGTGTGTGTGTGTGTGTGTGTGTGTGTGTTGGGGGGCGGTGTCAGGGGAACAGGTGACGTATGGGGGAGATCCGTGCAGCAATCCTTAGCCAACTTGACTGAGCCATTGAACCTGAAAACTTGGACATTTGGCGGCTGTGGGTTCTGGGGAGTTTGGGCAGGTGTAAAGTATGGGCAGGGGACGCTGGAGTTTGGTGACTGCTGCTGTAGATACAACAGAAGGCAAGTATGGGGTCATTTCTCCTTCCACCGGCTGGGACAGCAAGACTGAGGTGTTAAAGATCCCTTACCTTCTCCAGGACCACTTAATGGTAACTGTGTGACTGCTGGACTGGGCAGAAGTTAGGAGGTCCCTGTTACTTAACAGAAGGACCTTCAGGCCTTTCAAACACCGTAGCTGTGGCCACATAGCTGGTATGCTCAGCTCTGTGGGTCATTCCCTTGGCACAGGGTGCTAGGCATCTCTCCACCTTAGGCTCTGGCTTTTGGTTGTGTCCATCCCATGAAGTCCAGCATCCCATGTGAAGCACAGCCCTGTAGCCATGAGTGATGGCTAGCCACAAGAGGAGGCTCAGGTCTCAGGGAACCTGACCCTGTGTGGCTTTTTATTCACTCTCTCCAGGGCTGGCTCAACATTTTCCCACAGCTACAAACTCCCCCACCAAATTCCAGCCCCCTCATCATAGTAGGCAACCTCACGTCCTATTCCGAAGAGACTATTCCACAGGGTGGCTCCTCACCTAGCTGGCCTCTGTAAGGGGTCAGATCCCTCTGTCTGGACCACTGGGTATGCCTGCTCAAATTCTCTCAATGGTCTGGAATCCTCCATTTAGCAGTTTTGGGCTACAATTAATGGTGGGCAACTGAGCACTGAGAATAAGAGATGGTGGGTAGATGGGACATCACTGAGAGGCATTCCTACAGTCAGTACCTGATGTTTCTAGGAAGACTGAGGTGTTCCCTGGGCTCTCAGCTGGACACAGGGCTGCTCAGGTCCTAAAGCATTGGTTTCTGAAGAATGGCTTCTGAGCTTCCTGATCCAACCATAGATCCCTATTTCCTATATTCCAGTTCCCCTCTCTGTCACCTACTGCCCTGTGTCCTTCCCATCATGAGGATTCATGTTGCTTTGACAGGGGATTTCCTTCTTTCTTGGGTGAGCATTGTCCTGGGACACCTTTGCTTTAGTTTACCCCTTTGTGTGCCACGTGTGTTGTCTCTGTGCTGTTACAGGCTAGCTATAGTTCCCTGATTTGAAGTTAAGAACAGAATTCCCAAACTCACCTCCTGGTCTCTAGTCGTCTCTATTCCCAAGGTTTTGCTCCCCAAATGGCAGTCATTTTTCCCCCTGACATGCTTCTCCCTAGAGGCATGTCTAGTAGAATTCCCTAGCCACGGTGTCTTGGTGGCCCTATATCTAAGCCCTTTCCTGTTCATGTGAAGCATCTCAGTTAAGAGTCCCCTCAGTGTTTAGCACTATTTTATATCACTTGGCCACTGTCTCTGCAATGTCTCTTGCCTGAAGCTCTGGTATACCTTGTCCTGTTGTCAGATATTTTCTTAGCATCATTCAAGACACTTCTCACATGTCCCATGCTCTACCAAGCCTACCTCACACTCCTCAGGAGGTTGAGGCTACTTCCTGTCCCTTGATGTCACACACAAGGCTCTGCTGTGATATGACTGCCTTGCTGGATCTGCCATTTGGCAGGGGTGTGCAGACCAAGTACAGAGCGGTTCAGCCACGATTCACCAAGGAAAGAGTAAACAGCCAATGCGCTTTCTGTGGGGGCTCAGGACTCTTTCCCCACATAGGCATCTCCCATGTGCCCCAACCACAGAAATGGGCATACAGCCATGATCTATGAAGGCTTGCCTCAGGAAAGCACAGCCCACCTTCTTAAACAAGAGCGGCGCATAGCCTCGGCAGCAGACATGCTTTGTAAGCTTGTTTGTAAGAGACAGAAAGGGGAAGGCCAGCTTTCAACATCTCCCATCCCCAGAGGTGTGCAAATATTTTAGCAACATCCCAATGACTAAACAGTGATTCAGCCAAGACGCCAGAATAAATAGAATTATCTATTCTTAACTATGCTCCCTTCTTACTAAGATATTACAGGCTATACTTATTCCTGGAATGATGCCCTTTCTCTGGGCTTTGGAATGATAATGCAAGCTGCCTCCATGGCTGGAGGGCTAGCCCATGAGATCATACCTCCACGTCTCTGCCTAGATGAAAAATGAGGCCAGCAGGTCAGCCATTTAGAGGCCATCAAAACCAATGTTTGACTAAAAAAAAACACCCAGACTTGTTCATGTTCCCACCTTTTACGATGTGGACGTACACAAACCCTAGAGATTGTTCAGCAGCTTTGGGGCACCATGAAGATGTCATCTCCCTAGAAGAGCAGCATCTATGATGTCACAGGCAGCTCAGTGTTCCTGATACACTAGGGCCCCCGGGGAACTTGGGCCCTGGCCTATTGAGTACCTGTGAGCCCGTGTGCATATGTTGCTTTGAAATGGCTCCAGGGGCCACCGTCTAGCTTTCCTCTGGCCCCACTCCGTGCACTGGCTGGCCTTGACTAAAGATGGGCCAAGCAACCCTTCACTGCCCTGGGCCACAAACCCCATTGCATTACACCTTGGAACTAAACTGAGACTACACTGGTAAATATAACAGCCTTACCTATGCCATGGAGCCAGCTGAATCTTATTGTGGGGCACACAGGCCACTGGAACCAAGGGATTAGCATGGTGTGATTATCCCAGTGATCTGAACCATATCCAGGCTCACACACAACCTCTGGAGATCTAACTTTAAAAATAAGGTTTCAAATCTCCCCTCCCCCAGAAAAGACTAGGTTGCCCCAGGTTAGGAGAGCACTTCAAAGCAAACAGCTGGAATAAAACTATATGGAAGTCTATTTTAAAGTGTGAGACATTGGATGGCTTTCACATACTTTCAGCTGCAGACCTGATCTAACCTCTGGGCTGGATCCTGAATTCTGGGGTATGCATGTTTTGTTACAGTCTCAGGAGATGGTTTTTTGTTTGATTGTTTTTGTTTTTGTCTGAAATGGGAGATGTTCCACATTGTTCAAAAAAGAATTTTGCTCAACTGCTCACCCTGCAAGTAACTGCAGAGTGTTTTCTCAGTGACTAGCTGCTCCCAGGGAGTCATGTGATGAGTCATATGATGGGGTCTCTTGTAGCATGGGAAGTGCCTGTGACACCATGAAGCTGTATCTGAGGAAGCATCTCTCTAGCCTCCTTTGAGTTGAAGGTGCTGGTCCTGGTTTTCTAGCTTGTGGCTCACCCAACAGTTCTCCAAAGAGGAACTCAGGGTTCCATTGTGGGGGCACTCGAGTCCTGAGCCATGGGCACAGTGCTCTGGGAAGGATCTGTAGGTTCCAGCTCTGCCTGGGTGAGTCCTAACCCTGCACCCCAGCATGCACAAATGCTAAGTATTGCTGAGAGGTAACAGGTCACAGAATGGCATCCATCATGGAACACCTTTCTTGTTGATTCTGACATCCCTCCTTTCCTCCAGCTGTTCAGAGGAAGATGGTCCTCAGAGAGTTCCAGCTAAACCTCAAAGGTCTCTTAGGCCCCACTCTGTTCTTGTGAAAACACCCAGTGGAAGTTATGGATTAGATCAGCCGCTCCCACCACCAATCCATATATTGAAGCCACAATACAAATGTAAAAAGCCTTTAAAGGTTCAATGAGGGAAAGTATCAGCCCCGACCATATAATACTGATGTCTTCATGGAATATATGAGAGGTGATGGAGGAATGCAGAAGGGACTGTGGGGACACAGCAAGGAGGGGGATCTACACACCAAGGAGAGAGGCCCCTGGAGAGGTGACTCTGTGACTTCTGAGTCAGGGACCTCAGGCACAGGAGGTGTGAACATGAAGGTGTTGAGTCCCTTGTTTGAGGACATGCCACTATTGGGTGACCTATAGGCTGTGTAAGACAGAGGTGACTTGGAATACAGCATGGATGGGGAAGATGACATGCATCTCTACCAGCTCCTGGGGCCTTGTTTATGCACAGGGTGCCGTGTACCCACTTTATACATGGTTCCATTCTTTCCAGGAGAAGACGATTAGAGCAGGACCTAATGGGCCAGGGCCAGCTGGAAGCATCCGTTTAGCAGCCAGGTAACAGTTTCCCTCTGTAAATGGGTCCCTCCACCCCTGTCCTGGTGTTATGACTTGACATTTGTAAAGGGAAGAATACGTTTGCTCCTGGCCAGTGCCCTTTGCATGATGCTCCCAGGGCAGTTTGCAAGGGAAAGCCCTAGGAGGGTCACCCTAGCAGCGTGGACAAATATGATCAACCAAGCTCCCGGGTCAGCTGTATTTATGTCATGTGCTTATTAAAAAGTTAATCTGCCAATTATCTTGTGAAGACTTTGTATACATTATGAGCTGCCCACCAACTTCACCTAAGTGTATCCACCTCTCTAGACAGTGTAGCCGGATGCTCCTGTGGATGGGCCAAAAAGCCAGAGCTGTCTTTCTGTCCCCCTGTGGCCAGGTAATGGTATCACCTGAGCTGTCCCCAACACGACCACATGTGTGTGAGTTATCCATGCTTTCTGTGGCATCTCAGGCAGGCTTTACTTCAGTGCAGGGTCAGGGAAACCATATGTCTTGGACCTGCTGGGCACACTTGCCAAGTGAGCCATGCACACATGGGTCCCTTGGAGGACTACCCTGTATCCAGGTGGAACCTGGCTTTATGTCCTGTCCCAGAGATGTAGAGGGGCTAGCCTTCCTGCTACTACCAGCTCTCTTATGTCTCCATGTCTGAGCTGAGATTAGGAACCACCTACAGAACGAATGTAATAGTCAATACTGATTGTCAACTTGACAGGACCCAGAATCATACAGGAGACAAGGCTGTAGCACATCTGTGATGGATTATTTACATTAGGTTAGTCAAAGTAGGAAGACACACCTTAATTGTGGGCAACACCATCCCACAGGTTGGGGTCCTGGACTGAATAAAAAGGAGAAAGAGAGCCGAGCATCGGCATCCATCTCTTTCTGCTTCCTGACTGCCGATTCAATGTGACCAGCCGCCTTGAGCTCCTGCTGCGTGACTTCCCCATGATGACGGACTGTACCCTTAAACTATGAAGCAGAAGAAACCCTTCCTTCCTTTGTTAAGCTGCATTTATCTGACTTAGTGTCACAGCAACAAGATACGTGAGTAACACACCCAGGTAGGAGTAATTTTCCCTTATCGGGGACTCTGCTCAGCAATACAAGGACAGTGTCGGTCTTTAGAGACACTGGATCACCTCTGTTCTGGGTGGAAACAGGCACAGTTTCCAGAGCAACACAGCCCTTTTAGAATGTCTGCACGGAACCTGACTGTGCATGGAGGATGCCACGCCCTAACCTGAAGATGCCCCACCCCCTGGAAAGAATGTATTTGAGGCAAGTGTGGGGATGGGCTATAAACCTCATGAAACACAGAGACACAGAACCCAGCTGCTGCAGCCCCTCCCTACCCTGCTTAGGCTCCCAAAGAGCCTTGATGCTCTGGTGACAAAAGTTCTTTTTAAACTTTTAAAGTTGTTATTTTATTATTTTGTGTGCATGGGTGTTATGTATGTATGTCTGCATACCACATGCATGCTTGGTGCCTTCAGAGCTCTGAACAGCATGCGGATCCTCTGGAGCTGGAGTTACAGACAGCTGTCGCAGTTGCTGGAGTCAGACTCTTCGGAAGACTAGCCTGTGTCCTTACCCACTGAACCATCTCTCCAGCCCGGATTGATGTTCTTTCAAACCTTATTTCAGCACAAATGCTTTCACTTTTAAACACTGTGGGGCTCCCTTGGTAGTATATCATTAAAAAAAAATCTATTGGAACAAGGGCCTCACATCCACTGGCTGAATTGACAGTCTGGTTGTGCCCAGCATGCTTCTTTCAGCCTTGGATGGTGCTTTGCCTCCTGGACTCCAGGAGGCCAACATTTAGGTGGGTTGTACTTGAACACTACACTTTTCTGACATCAGAGGAGACAACTGGGGCAAAGAGAGAAGGAGCTCCCAAAGGAACAGGGTCACCGTGGAGCTGTACAGCAGGATTTACAGAAGTGGGGAGATGAGGAATGTGTGGCCTGGGGCTGTACAGATGCTGTAATGCTTTCAGATTTGGGTGGGCAGCTCCTCTGGTCTATACTGAAACCCCAGGGCACAGGAAGAGCAGAAGGAATGCTTCCTGGCCCTGTCCCAGATTGTTTTGTGTCCTTTAATACTGGGCAGCTAATGCTTGAGATGCCCACTTTTAAATACAACCACTGGGCACCTGATGTCCGAGGCTTTGAACTGCCACACAAATCCTTGAGGCAAAATGTAGAGCTCTGTGCTGCTTCAGATATGGCTTCCATGCTCCTGTATGGCTCTGATCACATGATGCTGTGCATGCTCAGAAGTCAAGAGGAGACATAGGTAGCCATCCACATGGCCTGGGGACTCCAGGAGGATGGGAAGGAGTGGTGTTGGGAGATGCAGCTGAGGAAGGATACACCCTGGAACTGTGTTATCTCCAACCTTTGATTAGGTGGGCTTTCTTGGCTCTGCAGTGTGGATGGTGTCCTGACTAGGGTAGCATTGAGCAATCTCAAGAGCATTCATTTCCTGACCCCAAGTTCCTGGGAGATTCGAGTTTATTCTCATTGTTCCAACTACTCTTGAGAGAGGAACCAAAGCCAAAGAGCCACAACACCCAGGTCAGTGTTGGGGAAAGTGGGGCCAGCTCCAGGCCTCTGGCCTCATCAGAATCTTCAATCACCTGAATCCTAAACTACCCTTATCTGGGCATCAACTTGAAGAACAGTGGTTGTGGTGAGTCTGCAGTAGTGAACAGGATGCTCTATCCAGTGACTTCACATAGATCAGATCTGTTGCCCCATGCAGCCTGCTCATGGCGACCAGCAAGGAGATGTAGCTTTGCTTAGATTCAGAAGGCCCTATTGAGGCTCCAGGAAGATCTAAGCTCAGGATGGCATGGACCATCACATTTATTACAGCTTTTGTTACTGTTTTGTTTTTTTTCTTAAAATAACTTCTGCCTTGTTTAAATGCATTTTCTGTGCATTGCTGATTGTTAACTAGACCACAGGAGTGAGTGTGTCTCTAACCACATGTTCTGCCACTGAAGCCATGAAGCTCACATTGCACTATTCATTTAAAAAGGCTGGACCACTTCTATTACTTATTTTTCTGTTGCTGTGATAAAATGCCATGACCAAGACAACTAATAGGAAAAAGAGTTTGTTTGTTAAAGGGGTAAGAGTCCAGTGTGGTAGGGAGGCAGGTATGGTAGAAGGATCCGGAAGCTGAGAGCTCGCATTTTTAAACACAAGCATGAAACAGAGAGATTGAACGGGTGTGAGATTTTAGTATCTACCTCCTCCCAGTGACACACTTTCCACAGCAAGATCACAGCTCCAAACATCCCCAAACAGTGTCACCAACTGGAAACCAAGTGTGTAAATATTTGAGATGATGGGGAGAAGTTTCTCACTCATACCATACACTGCCTTGATTCATTTTCCTGTAAGCAGGAGCATTTCAAGTTATACATATTTACTTTAGTATATTCCCTGGGGCATCAGGATTTCACAGTGAGAGCTATCAGGTCATTAGCTAGCAATTCAGTTGCAGAAAAGCCCTGATCCATTCAGCTGTGGCCCCTCCAGCCTGTTACCTGGCCACCACAAACAAGATCCAAGCTAGATAAAAAGTAGAACTCAGCTACAGAGCTGGTGTCCTTGTCATGCTGAGCTGGGCGTGGCTCGGGAGCCTGGTATATGGTGCCTTCTAATGAATGTAGTCTTTCTGAACAGTGTCCCAAGCCACCCTGTCAAAGGATCGCTACCCCACCCCTGCCCTCAGGCTGCTGGGACTGCCAGAGGGCTGCACCCATGGGCTGCGTGGCTTTCTTTCGAGAGCAAACTTGGCTGATTCTCAATGTACAGTGTGGAGATTTTCAGGAGAAGGCTCAGATGGAAACATGATGGCTCAGGATTCCAGGGTGCAATCTGAGCTCCCCTCCCAACTCACTATTTTGAAAATGACTGTCCATACAGTGATCAAGGGGTCAAAATGTCACATGAAAACACACATTACATCTTGCCATCTCCGTGACTGAGACAGAAACACAATTCTCCCCTTGCCGGAGAGGAAAAACAACCAAATAAACTAGCTTGCAGAAGGTGGATTCTGAAAGAAAGCCAAGGAGATGCTGGTAGCTTGGAAAGAGATGATAAACTCCCCTGGCTTCTAACTCACATCTGGGCAGCAGCCACACTAGCCTTCAGGTGCAGGCTCTGTGGTGCTCAATCAGTCCTCGAGGCTTCCTAAACAGAGCTTTGCTTGAATGCCTTTACCATGGCATGATCTCACTCAACAAGGACTAGCTGAAAATCATGGATGGAGAACAAATACTCTCTGCATGTCTCAAAAAGAGGAGATCCAAAGACTCTCCTGTTGTGGCTGGCTGTTTCTTGCCAGCATGGAAGACAATCCTGAGACTCAGAGAAGGGGAAACCGTGTATGCACTACCCTCTACCGACAGCTACAACCCAGAATCCACTTGCTGGAGCTAAGAGCTCCACCCTCTCTCTCGTGTCCTTGCTTGTTTCCTTCACGGATACCACCTCAAGAGTCAAATAGGTGCTTTGCAGTGGTCCAGCTGTTCTGGAGTGTGGACACATTTATGGGCCCATGTATAGAGGCCTGATCTTCACACATCAATGTTGGAATGAAAAACCTTTCAGGGGTGAAGTCTTGTGGGAGGAAACTGGCATCACACTCAGGAGGGATTAACATAGTTCTGACCACTCCTCAGTGCTTGGCTTCCTACTGTGCCATGTGAATTGTTTTTAAAATGTGTATCGGTGTTTTGCCTGTGTGTATATGTGTACCGAGTGCTTGATGCTAGTGGAGGCCAGAAAAGGGCACCGGATTCCCTGGAACTGAAGTCACAGATGACTATGAGCCACTGTATGGGTGTTGGGAATTGAACAGGGATCTTCTGCAAGAATAGCCAGTGCTCTTAACCTCTGGGCCATGTGTGGTAATATTGTGTTCCCCAATATATCGTGCACCCTAATAAATTGATTTGGGGTCAGAAAACAGAACAGCCACTAGACAGATATAGAGGCCAGAAAATGGTGGCACACATGCCTTTAATCCTAGCATTCCAGAGGCAGAGATCTGCCTGGATCTCTGTGAGTTCAAGGCCACACTAGAAACAGCCAGGCATGGTAACAAGAGCCTTTAATCGCAGGAAGTGATGGCAGAAAGCAGAAAGGTATTTAAGGCGTGAGAACCAGGAACTAGAGCTGGTTAAGGCTGAGATTCATTCTGGATGAGGACACAGAAGCTTCCAGTCTGAGGAACTAGAATCAGCTGAGGAACTGGCAAGGCGAGAAAGCTGTGGCTTGTTCTGCTTCTCTGATCTTCCAGCATTCACCCCAATACCTGGCTCCAGGTTTGTTTTTATTAATAAGAACTTTTAAGGTTCATGTTACAGCCATCCCTCAGTGTGATCACTACTGCACATGCTTTTGCCACAAGAAGTCACACAGCCAGGGGCTCTCACCAAATGTCATCATTGTTAGGCTTTATATGATATATATATATATATATATATCATATAAATTGGTATATTGGTATATATATATACCAATAATAGGTAAACCATCCCTCTTTTGGTAAAGTACCTAGCCTCCAACGTTTCATTATAGCAACAGAAAATGGCCTGAGACAGCTTCCTTGTATTTCTCTAGACATTTGGTGCTCTGAGCAGGGAAGGACAGGCGCTACCCATGGGCCTTAAATATAAATAATCTGCTCTCTGGGACACCAGTCTCAGTGCTCGCACATGGAGTCATAGCAGAAGGAAAGAGATACATGGCCAGACTACAGTTGCTGTGGTAGTGAGGAAGACTACAGACAGCCACCTGCCCCTAACCTGTCTTCTGGTCCTTGAAGTCCTAGCTCTTTAAGCTCCCCGCATGGTTACTTATCTGCTTATGTTTGTTTGAAGACTGGGCTCCTGAGGATGGAGCCTGTGTTCTCCATCAGCCTGTGGAGGGCTGGTGAACCGTGAACAGTCAGGTGTGGGCAGACCAGCACCCTCCCTGGCAGACTTTGTGTGGGGACGATCTGGTTTTGTACTGACCAAGCCCCCTTCCTCCTCAGTCTCCCTTTACAGTTACTGTTTGCAGTCAAGGTTTTGTTCATACCTTAAATTCCCTTCCCCACCATGCTGATTAACCGGGGCAGTCACAAGGCTAACACAGTTGTTTTGCCCAGGAGGATGGGAGATGTAGCTGTCTCCATTCCTCTCACAGTGTATTACAGAAAGCACTTTGGAGACTTTAGAGAGGGAGAAGCCAATCGGTGATCAGGAAGGAAGCATCCATTTCTGTGTGAGCAGTTCTGCTTTATTGATAGCTTTGGGGGTACATCTGACCGTGGTTTTAATCTATATTTGCTAAATGCTGGGTAACTGACATGAATGTCAGGGCCAGCGCACAGGCCACATTTTGAAGATCATGACACCCATATGTCTTGATGTACCTCAAGAGATTTGAAATTCAGAAAATGTAGGCTATAATGGAACACACGTGTGAGTATCCTAGGGGTTGGGGACTCCTCTTGGGGGGCAGCTGATGAGACCTGTGCCCTGTTTTACTACTTAGAATGCTATGGGAAGTCAATTATGGCGATGTATAACCCATTCTGGAAATAATGAGAGGCTTCCAATGAGCATGCTCAGGATCCCAGGACAAACCTTAAAAGCTAACAATAGGTCTTTATTTAAACCACCAATGGAATTGGGGTATAGCCACTCTCCATAGCCTTAGTTCCAGATAGGAGACCAGGTTTGCTTGTGAAGTATCAGGCAGGACGCTTCAGTTTTTGTATTTAAACCCATGAGGCACCTATTGCTGTTAGCACACACAGAAGTTGAGGAAAGACAGGAAAGACCTCTGTGCAAAGCCTTCTACCTGCTCTACAGGGACTAGCCAGGGGCAGCAGAGCAGTTACCACGCCCCTGTCATTTGCATACATGAAGGCGGAGCCAATGGAAGAACAGCCAGGTGGCTGAAAGGCCTTCTTAGGGCCGGCCCAGGACCTGCCCCTTGACTATTAGTGTTTGATGTGGCTCCTTCCTGGAGCCTGCCTCTTGGTCTCACATCCCTGAGGCACAGGCCCCCACTCTGGTCAAACTTTCCTCGCGGGGCTAAAGCACATGTGGGAGACGCCTCTGGTCTCTGTGTTACTGAGTCCTGGATATGAGATGGCCACAGGGCTTACTCTTGCCAAAAGAGAGGGAATTGAGATTCTGATATGGGATGGTACCATAAGGACCTAGCCTGGAATTTCACGAGAAAAAATAAAAGGGCCAGAGAGAGGTGAGTATCCCAGGTTAGACTTACTAGCCTGTTGCCAGACCGCTGGCTTCTGGTACAAACCTGAGGCATATTTATTCGTGTGGCTGCCCAGGGTGGCATTCACTCAGTCTGTTTGGTGAGAAATTTTTCTGTCCAACCTCCATCACTCAGAATGCAAACTTCACAGTGACCATGTGGAGCAGTGCCCAGGGCAGGCCACTGCAGAGGCAGGCAGAGACAATGGAGCATGCCTATAGCTCACTCCCTTTCTCCTCTGCCCCCACCTCCTCAGAGCACGGGGACCAGAGGGTAGCAGAGGACCGGGCATCAGAAGGTCGAGAGTACTTTGTCCCCTTTACAATGAGCTGCTCTAGGTGTGCTGAGATATACAGCAGTGTGTGGGACCCACGGGAGTCAGAGTCAGAGTTGCGTCCAAGGCCCCACAGCCAGGAACAGCCCATTCCCAGTGAGGGCTCAGTCCCCCAAATGTAGTCTATCTTATCTGGCATTTGTTGGAATGTCTCTGATTTATTTCCAAAGTACATTTTGGCCTTGGAAAGAAAGTTTGAATCTGAACACATTCTGACTCTCAGCTTATCCTTCCTGGCTCTTTTCTCTACTGCTATAACAAAATACCCGAAGCTGGTTAACTTGTAGTGTAAAGAGGTTTATCTGGATTGTAATATTCTGGCTGGAGGTGTTAGGACACAGTGCTGGCCCTGATGAAGGCTCCTGTCTCGGTGCTGCAACGCAGTGGAGAAATGAAAAGTGATTAGCTGGTGCAGAAGGAACCGGAGACTAGGGGCAAACCAGGCTTGCTGCTTTATTATAACCCACCTCCGCAGGAAATTCCCACTCTTCTAGCAGCCTTAATTCCTTTCCAAGACATGGCCCTGTGGCCTCATAACCCCCGACAGGCTCCACCTCTGAAAGGTTCCATCCTTTAACGCTACCCCCAGGGGACCACATTTTGAGTGGCAGTCTCAAAACATTCTAGCAAGCCCAAATGGCTTACCCAGGAAACATGTTGATGGAGCAGGCTGTTGGAACCCTTCGTCTGCTTGAAGTAGCAGGAGGAAGTGGTCCAGTGTACTCTGAGATATTTGCATTAAGCAGAGTTTAGGCTCGGATAGCACCATGTCCTGTGGCATGGGAAAAGATGCCGAGGATAGCGTCAGGCAGCAGTTTGGGGCTTTCCCTCAGGCGGGCATGTGTTCTGTGTAGTGGGCAGCCATTCCAGCTTTGGTCTGGAAGTTCCAACCCCCATTGAGGTTTTAGTAACTATCACGCCCATAAGGCGGGGCCAAGGGAGGGCCTGAAGACCCAAGATTGGGACATGATGCACTCTCTTGCTGCTGGGAGCCCAGACGGAGGAGAGTTCTCCAGAGAACATCGCCGAACTACTGCTGCATCTTTCCCAGAACCCTCAACCTACCTATTCCTTCATTTGTAAGTTACGCCATTAAATAAATCTCCCTTTAACTACGTGGAGTGGCCTTAATAATTTCACCAATAGTTCTGGGCCCCATCTCGTGTCAGTGTGGAAGGAGTAACTGGACCACAGGCTCGCAGCACACTCCCAGGCTTCTCCAGGTCACATCTCCCAGCTGTAGCTGGCTGGGGCGCTTGTATTTGACTGACGACCAGGTACTGAAGGGAGAAAGGCCTCCAAATGCCCACTAATAGGCTGAGGCTTCACGCGCAGCAGCAATACCGAAGAATTGATTTATTTCTCCATTACAAATTGCAAATGGAGACATCCTGACATGCAAAGGGAAGCCTAGGGATTGGGGTGCACCGAGCAATATCCAGACTAAAGAGATGGGCTAAATTCCAGTTTGTGTGAGCGGCACAAGGT